GTCTCTTACTTTTTTTTTTTCTGTTAATATTTTATTTTCTGTTAATATTTTATTTTTCTCATCACATGTAGACAAACCCTACTTCAGGGTTTCTCATTCTTGACATTGAACATTTGGGACTGGATAATTATTTGCTGTGGGCACCTGTCCTGTGTGCATCATAGGACATTTGACAGCATCCCTAAGTGCCAGGAGCACCCCACAAGTTGTGACAACAAAAATGTCTCCAGACATTGTCAAATGTAACCTGGATGCAAAATCACACACACACACACACACACACACACACACACACACACACACATATTGAGAACCACTGATCTATTTGGATGTTATTGTATATGGTGTGAGGTAAGGATCCAGTACTTTTCCTCAATACGATGTATTAGTTTTATTAATATTAAATAATTCTTCTTTTCAAACTTGTTTATGATGCCACTGCTACTACATGTCCACATCCTATACGTGCGTGCATCTGTGATTGTATATGGTAGACCCTGACTAGATTATCACAAACTCATTTCCTTTTCCTGGGCACAGAACCCCCTTGCATCTGAATGGGACAGAAGTGAAGAGTGTCACTTCCAGGTCTGGACAGCAGGGAGCAGGTGTGTCTTCATCATGCTCTCTCTCTCTCTCTCTCTCTCATCCCCTTCCAAGGACACCTTGTCAGAGTATGAATCTGGGGGTTGAATGGGCCTACCCAGTTCTCACTCAGGGTCTCGTGACCACAGTCAGATGGCACTTGTTGTTGGGGCCACTCTGAGGGCTTCTTCCCTCACCTAGTGGGGCTGAAGGATGAGCCGGAGTCCGAAACAGCTGTGGCTCACTGTCTGGCTGGGGTGTCTCTCTCTCCCTCCTTCACTTGCCCCCCTCTACCCTCTCTGGTCTCTCCACGTGGGGTTCTCCCTGTGGCAGCCTCAGGGTAGCTGGATTTTTTACACAACGACTGAAGTCAGTTGTCCCCGAGGGAAACTGCAAAGCTGCATGACCTTTCCTGACTCAACCTAAGAAGCCCCACAATGTCTCTTCCACCGTCTTCATCCAGGCAGCCACAAGGAGGGCATAGAGACGCCAGAGCATAAAGTACTTGTGAACACGTGTCAAAATCACAAGCTATCCGACGCGGTCCCAGATTCCTTATCCCCTGGGTGTGGTGTTTGTCTCTCCCTCTGGAAGGTTGCAGGCAGGGTCTTCATTTCCTTCCCGACGACTCTGGAATTTTATGATCTGCTTTGTGGTTCTTTCGTCAACATGCTCGGCACTCATCGTGCCTTTCAGCTCGAAAGCCCATCTTCCGTCCTGGGAAAACTTACTGCGTTATTTTTATTTTACTATTTTTTTCCTACCCTCTTCTTTCTCCCTCTCTCTGGACCTCCTGGAATAATACTGTTATTCTTATCTTTCCATGCCTTTATCTTTTTTTTTTTTTATTTTCATGCGTATTTTTCAACTCTATCTTGAGATTTTTTCATTTCTGCAATCTCATTTTTAATTTCCAAGAGTTCCTGAGTATTCTTTATGATAGCCTCCCTTTTGGGGCGCCTGGGTGGCTCAGTCGGTTAAGTGTCCGACGTCGGCTCAGGTCATGAGCTCGCGGTCCGTGGGTTCGAGCCCCGCATCGGGCTCTGTGCTGTCAGCTCAAAGCCTGGAGCCTGCTTCGGGTTCTGTGTCTCCCTCTCTCTCTGCCCCTCCCCCGTTCATGCTCTGTCTCTCTCTGTCTCAAAAATAAATAAACATTACAATAGCCTCCCTTTCTTACCTCCTGGATGTAACACCTTTGGTTATGTCCCTGAAGATAATGATTAAAGCTGATTTGAATTTTTCTGATACCACCTGCACGGCCCCTATCTTTTCTGAGTTCTTTTTCTTTCCCCGTTTATTGCTGTCTCTCTTTTACGTGAGAGAGTTCTCTCAACTGTCTGGCAATTATCTGTTGTCCTTTGATATCTGTCGTGTCAGGGGTGAGCGGGAAAGCTGAGGGTTTATCAAACACAGACCCTGTCACCAGGGCCCCTAAATGTCAGTTTCCGCTTCTCCCAGAGGATTCCTCCAGTCTTCCACTGGGCTGTGGGCCTCTGCCCACGCTCCAGAAGCTGGGCTGGAGGGCTGGACAGGGGGTCTTAAGGTTTGAGTATGAGGACCGTCCCCTGGCCCGCAGGCTACGCAGCCCCACCCACTGAATAGGGGCCAAGTGAAGACCTGCTGCTTTTGCTAGTTGCCACAGGTGCCCGAAGACCCACCTAACGGGCACGGGGTCTGCTGGGGAAGGGTGATGCAGCGACAGCCCCTGAGGGAGGTCACCAGCCCCAGCTGTGTGGCTTTTTCTGCAGCCAGATCCTCCGGACAGGCATTCCCACAGACCCACTCTTAAACCTCTTCGCCAACGCCCCCTCGTGCCAGGCCCCCAGTCTTGGCCTCTTCCAAATTCCTGGGATCTCCCGGGGCCTCAGGGCCATCTCAGCGGGTCCTGAAGGAACCACGTGCCTGGGGACAGTGCCGTTTGGCACACCACCTCTGTCTTGGTGTTCCGATGGGCGACCCAGACCGGTCCTCGTGGTCAGGTGGCCGGGCTCCCCCAGGGCTCAGAACGGCCAGGAGCGGCTCCTCAAAAGGACGATGTGTAGGCTCCTGTTTTCTCCCTGCAAGATGCTTCTCCGCTTGGCTTTAAGTGCCTGAGGAAGAGGCTTCCACTGGCTGGGGTCCCCCGTCTCCAGAAAGACGAGAGGCTGGGAACGCAACAGACAGTGGCCAGACCACAGGGGAAAACAGAACTCTGACCCCGCGACCCACCGCAGCCCGCCCAGAAAACCAACCTCTTGTCTGCAATAACCAGCCAGGAAGCCGGCGGCCGTGGGGCGCGCCTGCGGGAAGTCAGACTGCTAGCTCTAGGGGACAACGCAGGAAGCCAGGCAGCGAGCCTGGTGACAATTGCCCGGAATGTCCAGGACTTCATTCACAAGTGATAGCTTCCCCAGTTTTTATTTTTTCCTACTTAAGACCAACCAGAAAAAGCCACCTCTGCTCCCCCCCCC